ATGATTGATATTGCTACTTACTTTAAGCATGAATAATTTTGTTGAGCAATAGTTGATATTTTGAATAGTTTTTTTGTAAATATTATTTTTTAGATATATCTTTTAGAAAAAAATTGTAATTTCTAGTATGATTTAATATTCAATAATATATTATGTTATTAGATGTCAAAATTAATTTTTTAAATTAATAATTCTTTTAAATATTTTAAAAAATATTTATTAAAATCATTTTAAAAATATCAAAAAGTCTTTTTTTTTAAGTAAAAGAAACAGCCCCGTCTTTAATGACTCAAAAGTCAATTTAATCCTTATGATTATCTCTAGTCTTACATGTACACTTCCTTTCTAAACTGAAATTGCATGTGAACTCTCATTCAAGTTATAAGGCTTAATCTTGTCTCATCATTATCACATAAACAGTGAAAAGATTTAGACGAGATAGAAATATAGGGAGAGAAGTAATAATGAGGTTGAAATGTTCTTTTATTTTCAACATCCATTCAATTTAAGTTAACATCAATTTTAATATAGGTCAAGTGGATGAGTATTTAATAAATGTTAAAAATTTTAACAATAACGGTTATTCTTAAAAATAAACATAAATTATCATTTTTATCCTAATGACTTATTGATAATTTAAAAATATTGATTTGATAAAAATAAAATATGTTTGAATAAATATTAATCAAGTTATTGTTTTAGAATTATAAACTATTTCTTTTAAATTATATTATTTGTAGTTGTTAAATTTTGGCTTACTTTTAATTCTCCTATTTTCAAAAAAAATAATAAATTTAATTCGACTATTCTAAAAATTAGTTTTTTCTCCTCAGTTTCAATTTTTAAAAACATAAACTAATTTGAAATGTCAATAAAATTAACTTTTAAAATATAATATATATTGAATTTAATATTTAAAAATTTTATATCAATAAAATCGATTCAAATTAAAGTGAATGATCAAAATTTAAATAAAACAAATTAAATAGTTAATTTTAAAAGCTTATTTATATTAATATATAAATATAAATAAATAATATCATCAAAGAAATTAAACTTCACATCAACTATCTATACAAATATAAATCAATTTTTTAATTTAATAATTTAATATCAAAATGTCATTTTAAATCTATATTTTGCAGGGTGCAAGAGTTTAATTACTATATATTATTAGTATAAAATATATATATCATCAATACATCATAATTATTTAAATATATTAAAATGAATAATAACTTTGATTAATTGAAAATACAAAAAAAAAAATTAAATTATCAATAATATATCAATTAAATTTTTTTGTAATTGAATCTATCTATACAACTATAAATAATAATATTTTAACAAAAAGTAAACAAATAAATGTAAATATAATATTTTAAATATTAATGATGGTCCACCTAGAATTGACCTTAAATTAAACAAAGGGTTTATTCATGAAAAGAAGAAAAAAAAAAGTAAAGATGAAAAGAAAAGGGAATGGGTTACATCCCCAAAAATGAAAAACCTCAATGATTTTACTGTGAAAGCTGTCCCTCCAGTCCTTTCCTTTACTGCCAACTTGACAAATTAAGATGTGTTACAGTCCATTGCCTCAGAATTGCAGTCCATACTAATTTCATGTTAACAACGAGTCAACTCAGCCGAGTTAATAAAATCATTCTTTTTTAAGCTAAAAAATTCTAATGACTCGGTCTCACTCGGTCTCTTGTGTTTTTGCTTATGCAAGCTTTAGTCAAAATCATATTCTTTTTATTAAATAAAAATGTGTTACTGTTGGAGCATAGTGTTGTAAGATGTAACTTGTAATAATGGTGGAAAGTAATAATAGCCTATAGTGGTGTCATGCTTCATTTCAATGAAGATGAAGATGAAATTACTACTTTTATAGACTTATAGGTATGAAAATGATTGACTTAGAAATTATTTTATCTTTGAAATGAATTATAAACTTTTATAAAAAGTTAAAAAGAACACTTATTTTCCTTAAAAAAAAAGTTTAGGTGAATTAAATTTCATAGATTTATTAGGGGCTTTAGTATAGGTGAATTATATTTCATAGGTGAACAATTTTATTTTATATATTAATATTTTATTAATTTTAATTTTAATTATATAATTTAAATACTTAATATTGAAATTACAATTTTATTTTATATATTAATATTTTATTAATTTAAAATTTTATGTAATGTAAAATATTAATTAAAGTTATCTAAATTATTATTAATATGGATTAAAATAAATACTTAGACAATTTAGTTTTGAGTTCGTAATGAGAAAGTTTATGAATATTTATTTGAAAACTATAATATATATTTGGGTTGTTTGGTGACAACAAAAATAAAGCAACATTTTTTATTGGTTAACGAAATTGAAATTATTTTAGGATTACAAAATTTATAATTTTGCATGAAATTGAATATAAATATTTAAAAATTTAGTGATTAGAATTCATTTGACATTATAAAATTATAAAAAAGGTAATTATGAAGTAAGAAGATGAAAATTTAGATAAAATATTTGAGAGAAAATTTTTAAAATTAAGTGAATTGATAAAAATATAAGTGATATGAAAGTATAATCCATTTAGCAAAATAAAAAATGAAAATGAGTATTATCAAAAATCATCATCAGATAGAGCTTAAAAAAAAATTCCAACACATTTGACTGTGTCTCATTTCAAGTTACGGAACTCATGATACATCATTTTTAATGCTATTAAAATTCTCATGACATCAAATCTCGCTAAGCGAGGATTTGTCTCTCTTAACAAAAATAAAAGCACAGAAAACACCAAAATCGCATCTTTATACCCACCCTTTTCAACCACTAACCATCTAAACCATGCTCAATCATGTCATTAAATGCTCAAGCCTTCATATCATGAAATTATCGTTATTTTAATGTATTCAATCCCGTGTTAATCAGAGCTATAAGAATCTCATTATATGGTAGGAATAGGAAAATAATTTTTTTCATCATATTGCCATGCTTGCTTAGCGAGTTCTCAACAAGGCAAAATAGTATCCACAAAATTGAAGAAATTCTACCTCTCCTTTAGCAAAAAATCCAGCAAGACACTCTAGCAAAGTTTCATTTAACGAGCGATCACAGAATGTCAAACTTCACAAGATTCCTTTGCATGTCTCGCTTAGTGAAAATAACAGAATTCAATAAGTGGGAAAAGATAATAGGAATGGAATTTAAGCCAAACACTTCAACACACGTCATCATATTGCATACAACAACACCAAATACCATGGTTTGACACAAATAAATATGCAAACAACAAGATAATAACATCAAGTTCAATTTTCACACATAAAGTAAGATTTCATAAAACCTTAGTTTCCTTTTTAATTAATTTTTCCCAAGTTAAATCTAACTAAGAACTCACCTCTAATCAAGATGAATGCGATGAAAAATTAGGTTGATATCTTGATGATCTAAGCTTGATCTTGCCTCTTCCAAACTTTCCTTTTCTTCTTTCTCTTTTCTCTTCTTCTTCCTCTTACTAGCAAAGTTGAAAAATGAAAGGCAAGAGATAAAGATGAAAAATATTTAGGTTGAGATATTTGTCTCTTAACATAAATTACCATTTAAAACTTACCCTAAATATTCTTCTTTGACCAATTAGTAAAGACTAAGCTAAAAAAATGTAAGAATTAATCTTTTGTGAGTTCACTAATTACATTATTTGTCTCAACTGACAAAAACTGACAATTAATCAAACCTCAAGAACTCACTATATCCCAATTGACAACAACTCACAACTAATAGAAAATCTAAGAAGACATAGGATATTATATAACATAATATTCATCATCATTGTTAAGTCTCTAGATCCATTTATTTAAGTTGTTTTTCTCCGGCATCATTCAACAATCTTGAAGAAAAATATCTTCTCAAAAAAATAGGTGTTGTTTCCACCTATGATACTTATCATTTACCAAAATACACATTCAACACTAATGTATCTTTAACTAGAATGTTGGTTTATTTTAATAAAATTTTCATTCAACATACTTCTCTTTAATCAAAAATCATGTAAAAAAGGGCGATCTTTCACCATTACAAACATAAAAAGAAAAAACACCAAATGTTTTCTCCATACTCAAATTCACAATTTTTTAATTAAAGGTCTCTCTCGACTTTATTTTTTCGCCATTTGATCCTCGCCTCACTAATTCCAATATTCCTGAAATAATTTTCAAGACTACATACCCCCTTGATTAAATCTAAACCTAAACTTTGACATCATTTATTTATCGTAAACTTGAAATTTAGTTTAAATCCTTTTTATATTTTTTCCTACATCTCTCTACTATATTATTATTTTTATTTATAAATTTAATATTTAACTCAATTTAAAAAAATCAAAAATAAATAAATATACTCTTAAATAATTTAAAATCAAAATAAATTTATTTAAATTAATTCTTACCAAAACTAAATATACACTCAACATAACACCAACAAAGACATAGTGATGGGGCAAACAAAGCATATTTATTACTCACATCTAACCTCAAGTAGGGTCAATAACTTAACCATGGATTATAACCCTAGTTAAAAAAACAAGTGGTTAAGAAGCCACACCCACACATAAACCTTATTTTCATTTTCCATTTTGCATCATCATTCCAACAAACAGAAAACCTTTCTCTTGTTCATCTCTTACCCTTTTCCTTCTAACCTTTCTTCATTTCAATTTTCACTTTTTTCCAAACCCCAAATCCAAAACAAACCAAAACCCAAACCCCTTAATTTTCGAATGATAAAACAGTGTCATCACTCATGAAACACTCAAAAAAACTCAATTCATGGAGTATATATAATACATGTCATCTCTCTCTCTAATCTCTAATCTACAAAGAAAACCTAAACCTATAGCATAAAAAGCTAACCTTGTCCCCTTTTTTATATCATTTTTTTCTCCTTAAATTATTATTAATATCTCAAAAATCTTTTCTTCAACCATAGATGTTAGAGCCATGGACTTAACCCCAACACCAACACAAACACCAACACCATCAACAACACCAACACCACTACCAACCATTTTAACAACATCTACAACAACCTTTACAAAATCACCAGAACATGAAACCGAAACACCCACCAAAATCACCACTCCCACTACAACCACAACCTCAAAAATCTCATCTTTTTCCAACGGTGTTCTCAAACGCCTCCACAACCACCACCACCACCACAACCTTAACAACCACCACAACAACAACCTCGTAACTGTTACTTACAAAGAATGTCTCAAAAACCACGCAGCAAACCTAGGTGGTCACGCCCTCGACGGATGCGGCGAGTTCATGACATCCCCCACCGCAACATCCGCCGACCCAACATCCTTAAAATGCGCTGCCTGTGGCTGTCACCGTAATTTCCACCGCCGTGAACCCGAAGAGCCACCACTCTCCACCACCACGCATGTAATCGAATATCAACCTCACCACCGTCATCAACCTCTCCCACCTCCGCCGTTCTCCACCCGCAGCCCGAATTCCTCCTCTCCACCTCCGATCTCCTCAACTTACTACCCCTCCGCCCCTCACATGCTCCTCGCCCTCTCCACCGCCTTGCCGGAAAACGTCTCTGCTCCTAACTCCGCCATGATCTCTCCTGGCTCCCACTCTAGAAAACGCTTCCGAACTAAATTCACTCAAGATCAGAAAGAAAAGATGCTGAAATTCGCTGAGAAAGTTGGTTGGAAGATGCAAAAGAAAGACGAAGATTATGTTCATGAATTCTGCAACGAAATCTGTGTTGATCGAAGTGTTCTCAAAGTTTGGATGCACAACAACAAAAACACTTTCGCCAAAAAAGACAACAACCTTAACAACATCGACAACAACCTTAACAACATCGACAACAACCTTATCAACATGAACAATGAGGTTAATGTTGGTGTCAAGAGTTTCATGCCGCTTGAGAATGAAGAACACAACATCAATAACATCAATAAAGGTGAAACGAAACTTGAGATTCATACTCATAATCATAATCATCACTACCAGAATGATGTTGGAGTAACTGTTCGTGCTAATGGTTCATCTTCTTCTTGATTGATCTTTAATGGAAGAAAATTAAATAATTTGTTAGATAGATTTTTAAGTACTATGTATTATTATTACTTGGTTAATTTTTAATTGATTAGCTTTTTTTAATTTTAATTTAAATATTAGTTTATGTTATGAGATTCTGGATGATGATGAATGAGGAATGATGATGATGAGTACCACCTTTGTTAACATTGAAGAGAATTTATTATCAAGTTAACAGAAATTATTTTATGTGTTATGTTTATTTATGTGATTATGTAAGTTTAATTAATTATTATTTTTTTATATTAAATGTTTCAATATTTTAATTAATAGTATATAATAGTGTTAGTTCTTGGATTAAAATATTATTTATGTGATTATGTAAGTTTAATTAATTATTAAAATGCTAGTATATACTAATAGTGTTAGTTCTTGGATTAAAGTATTATTTATGTGATTATGTAAGTTTACTGTGATGAAATGTTTGGTATGATTTAATTAAATTTCTCTGTTCATTGTTCAGATTAAATTTGTTTGATAGTGAAATTTGTACAGAGAAATTGTCAGTGTCATTATTTGGTTGTGTTTTTTTTTTCAAGTTTTTTTTCAGGAATTTTTTTTCTCTCCCGTAAGAAATGGAAAAGATTTATTATTATTTTATTTTAAATTGTATTATTGTATTCGTGTCTGAGAGAAAGAAGCAGAAAGTGTTGGTGTTTGATCGGAAGTTTTATTGTTTTTGTTTTGTTTTATGGAAGGTGGTGAAATTTGTGGTGGTGCTATTTTCCCTTCATTTATTCTTTTGGTACTCTGCTGCTGTGTTTTCACGAACGAAATTTATAATAATAAACAAATAAATTGTATTTTATTAATGGATGTGTTTTGTAGTAAGAATTTTTTATTGCAATGTAATATTGGCTTTATGAATCCAAAAGAAGCTTTGATTATGCTTTTAATTATTGGCTCTAATCATGTGCTTATTACTACGTAATCTGATCTTAAGATGAACTTTTTAAGACTAATTTAGTATTTTAAGTAACTTTTTTGGAATCAACATTCTAAGTAGCTTTAGTATTATATTCCCATGAGAATAATATGTGGACACTTTCCTTATCATGGAATGAAAGTAGATATCCATCTTACTAAAATAATAGTACACAACTTTATTTTTCTTTTAACTTAAACAAAATGTTGAAATTTTGAGATTGAATGGAATACAAATAATTAGGTTAAGTTGATTTTTTTTTATAAATATAAATGTTGTAAAATCACATAAAATGAGATTAGAAATATTTGTTTTTTAAAAGAACTATAGTAGTATATTTGTAAAATATATGCATGGATAAAACAAGGATCTGTTCCGTTGGGCGCAGTCTAAAAAGTGGTGCTTAGACATGATTTTCACTGGTTAAATAATCCGCCTTGATAGGAAAGCGAGACCGATGACAAGTGGTGCTTAGACATGATTTCCACTTGTTAAATAATCCACCTTGATAGGAAAGTGAGACTGGTGACCTATATGCAGTTTACGACCATGTAGGAAAGAAATCATGGTCAAGATTCTCTAAGAAGTATGTCGTCAACAACTTTCCTAAGTGAGATGAGTACTACATCTTAGGAGTTTTCCTTGTCAATGTGGGATGAGTACTACAACTTAGGAGTTCTCCAAATCTAAACCCACGAACCCTTATAAATATCACAACTTTATGGATGAAAGGATTAATCCTATATTCACATGACTGACAATAAAATTGATTCACCAAGCTAGATGAATCAGTCGAGAAAGTGATAAAGTTTGTAGATGACAGACACATCACATCAGGCGAAAAAGGAAATATTTTTATTGTCAGAAAGGATGGTCGAAAAGCCAACATCACTTATGTGTTATATATACCACCAATGATAAGTAACTTTATAAGTGTAAGTTAATTACTTGCAAAAGGATACAACATGAAGATATAAAAGAATCATATGAAGGTGTATCATCATGATGGCAAGATGTTTCTAAATGCACCCTTAGTCGACAACATGACCTTCAAAGTAGACATTAACCCAGTCGATCACAAGTATCTTGCTTCGACTGCAAAAGAAGACAAAAACCAGTTGTGGCATCATAGATATGGACATCTAAACTTCAGAAGTTTAGGTATGCTCAACCTGAAAAAGATGATGTATGGCTTACCTCAGGTGAAATAACCAAGTCAGGTGTGTGATGAATGTTGCAAAGCAAAGCAGGCTAGAAAAGAATTCAAGCATTACTTGTCAATGAGGTCGATGGAAAAGTTAGAGTTAGTTCACTCTGATGTCTGTGGACCATTTGAAGTGATGTCGAATTGAGGTAACTATTACTTTCTAACCTTTATAGATGGATTCGCTAGATATATGTGGATTTATATTATTGAAAAGAAGAGTGATGTATTCACACAATTCAAGAAGTTCAAATTGCATGTTGAAAAGCAAAGTTGATGCAAGTTGAAGAAATTAAGAATTGATGGTGGTGATGAATACACCTCTCGAGAATTTGCTAGATTTTGCAATGAAGAAGGTATAAAGCAAGATGTTATTGCACCCTATATACCTCAGCATATTGGCATAGCTGAGCGGGAGAATTGAAGTGTACTGAACATGACTAGAAGCATGTTGAAAGCTAAAGATATGCCAAAGAGATTTTAGGCTGAAGCAACTTTGGAAGTAGTATACATACTAAATAGATGTCCAACCAAGAACATGGTTGAGAAGACTCCTTATGAGGCTTGGACATGTGCGAAGCTGAATGTTAGTCATCTTAAAGTGTTTGGATCAATCTGCTTCAGGCATGTACCTGAACAATTGAGGAAGAAAATAAATGATCGAAGTCAGACTATGGTGTTCATAAGTTATCATTCGACAGGTGTATATCAGTTATATTTCTTAAATGATGATAAACTAGTGATCAATCGAGATGTTCTAGTGGATGAAAGCAAAGGGTGGGACTAGAGTCAAAGGTCAGTTCGACACGATTCAGATATAGTTACATCTATGTTTGGAGAAGAACAAAAAATTGATGTTCCAACAAATCAAAATGAGGAACCACCTGAGTGAAATGTTAGAAGATCGACTAGAATAAGAACTGAGTTAACAAGGCTAGTTAGGTATGAAAGATTTCTAGATCAAGCAGTCGATGTAAATAGTGACTTAATAGAAGAAGAAATGATGATGGTTGAAGCAGAACCAATCAACTTGGATCAAGCCATGAGTGATTTGAATTGGTTAGTAGCCAAGAAAAATAACTCAGGTAAATCAAGAACAACAAGACCCGAGAGCTTGTCTAAAAGTCAATTAATAAGCCGATTGATGTGAAATAAGTTTACAAGCTGAAACGAAGGCCAAATGAAAAATTTGCCAAGCATAAGGCAATACTAGTGGCAAGAGGTTTTCTGCAAAAACCTAGTATTGATTTTGACGGGGTGTCTGCATCTGTGGCGAGATTGGAAACAATCAGAATTGTTGTGTCGACAGCAGGACATAGAGGGTGGAAAATACATCAGTTGGATGTAAAATAAGCATTTCTTAATGGACTCTTGTAAGAAGAAGTCTATGTCCGTCAACCACCAGGATTAAAAACCAAAGGCAGGAGTCGAAGGTGTACAGATTGAGGAAAACCCTCTATGGTTTGAAGCAAGCTCCAAGAGCTTAGAATAAGAGAATATATGGCTTCCTGATCGAAGTAGGTTTCACAAATTTTGTCTCTGAACATGGAGTGTATGTCCATGATGTAGACAGGATCAGTTAAATCATTATATGTTTGTATGTAGATGATTTATTGATTACAGGTGTAGATGAAACAGAGATAAGAAAAGTCAAATCAAAGCTGATGCAAGAGTTTAAAATGTCCGACTTAGGGAATTTGTCATATTTTTTAGGGATGTAGTTCAAAGAAACGGGCGAATAAGTGTTTCTGCACCAAAAAAAGTATGCTCAAGATATCTTGAAGAGGTTCAATATGAGCAATTGTAATGTATTTGCTACGCCATTAGAAACTAGAGCAAAGTTGAAGAAGGAGACAAATTATGGGTTTGTAAGTGCGACACTATATAAACAAATCATTGGATCCTTGAGGTATCTTTGCAATACAAGGCCAAACATTTGTCAAAGTGTCGAATTGTTAAGTAGATTCATGGAGAAACCCCAAGAATATCATCTCACTACAGTTAATAGGGTGTTGAGATACATAAAAGGTACGATTGATCATGGTGTGCTGATACCAAGGCAGATGAAGACCAACACTGATGCAGAAGTATATGGCTACACTAATTCAAATTTTAGTGGAGATTAAGACAAAAAGAATAGTAATGCAGGCTACATATTCATGATCGAAGGCGCTCCAATCTCATGGAACTCAAGGAAGCAAAACAATATGGCTTTGACATCTTATGAAGTTGAGTATGTTGTTGCATCATATGCAGCATGCCAAGCAACATGGATAGAGATGTTGCTCGAATAGCTCAAGACAATGGAATCAAGGAAAATGAATTTGTTTGTCAACAACAGGTCAACTCTCGATCTAATGAACCATTCGATGTGTCATGGTTGAAGTAAGCATATAGAGAGAATATATCATTTTCTAAGGGACCAAGTCAACAAAGAAAAGCTTGAACTTGAGAATTGCAAGACAAAAGTGCAACTAACTAATATACTCACAAAACCCTTGAAGAAAGTCAAGTTCGACGAGTTGAAGAGAAATATCAGAATGAAAAGTCTTGTGAGAACATGAATAAGAGGGTGTTAGAAGTTGTAATTCGACGTTTCGATTGAAAGATAACATTCAACTGTGTCAAAGTAGCTAGTCCGAGTTCAGAAGTAAGATGTATTAGACAAAATCTAATACATCATATAGTAGTGTTAAAATGTAATTTATAATTTTATATTTTATATATTTACGTTTTGAGTTTGGGTTGGTTTGTGTAGTTTGAATTTGAACTTTAATTACTTATATAAAAGATCTTGTGTAGTGTAAACAAAGAAGTCATTTAATCATAATT